AAAATTGGGTTCTTATTCTGCGCTTTAACTACCTGGAAAGGAAGAGCATTCTAGGTAGGGAAAATGTTTGTGCCAACGTCTAATGGCCATAGGGAAGAGGAAAGAAGGCCAATACCAGGGAGAGTGGGAAGCTATTGCAGTGTTTCAAGCTGGGGGAAGGAGGGGGTTAGCTGTACCATGATCACAAAGATCACCCTGCCTGGCTAAAAGAGAGCAAAAGTGGATTCAGGAAGATTTGTTAGGAAGCTACTGAGAAAATCCATGCAAGAGGTGATGGTAGTTTGGGCTAGGGTACTGGTATAGTATGGGGGGTGGGGCAGGGAGGATGGAAAAAAGGTATCCTCTTGGGACTTCCCTGGTGGTCCAGTGGTTAGGTTAAGAATCTGCCTTCCAGTGTAGGGGACACGGGTTCGATCCCTGGTTGGGGAACTAAGATCCCACATGCCTGGGACAACTAACTACTGAGACTTCACGCTCTGGAGCCCCCGTGCCACAACTAGAGAGAAGCCCGTGCGCCGCAACAAAGATCCCGTGTGCTGCAACTAAGACCCAGCACAGCCAAATAAATAAATACTAAAAAAAAAAAAAAAGAGAGCGAGAAAAGGTATCTTCTTGATTGAAACTGATTCTGATTAGATTATATATAGAGCCTTTAACAAAACATTCCAGAAATTACACTTCCAAATATGTGTTACTGCCTTAAAAGTGTCATATTGGTAGGTTATACACCCATTTTAATGATGCTGCATGGCTCTAAACAATTTTGTAAAGCCTCTTTTAGAAATTCCTTTAGAACCAGGTTATAACCAAACCAGAAGAACAGACTTATTGCTCTCTATATAGTCATATTTATAAATCCCCAAAGCTAAGGAACTATGTGTAACATTGTTAACTTTATGCAGGCTTTATGAGAACTTCCTTTTATGAGTTTGACCTTCCAAGGCATACAGTGAGGACACTTTGGCAAGAAAACTAGCAAATGTTGGGCAGGGGTGAACAAAAGCTAAGTTGTCTGATTCTTTATCAAAGAATGAGGATATATTCTTTTGGCAAAGAGGGAGCCAACTTGGGAAATCCAGAGGCAAAAGAAATCCTTGGACAGTCAGGAGGGAATTTTTTTTTTAAGGGAGCAGATAACCAATAAATCTTAGGAGACTGACAACAAATTTCTCACAGAAAAAAAAAAAAAAGAAGAATGAAGTTATAGCCATCTGTTTTTAGAAGAAGTAGGAAGCATGGTGGGGAGAGTTCAAATTTCAGAACCAAGTCAAACTCGGACTCTCTAAGTAGCTGTGCAGGTTTGCACAGATTGTCTCTGTACCTTACTTTCCTCATCTGTAAATTGGAGACACATATGCCAGGAGTTTTGTGAGATTTTATTAATTGAGCCCTGATTTCCAACCCCTCCCTCAATTTCTTTCACCTCAATACCTTTTCTTCAGGTTGAAGAGCAGGAAACTCTGGGGGGAGCAGGGGTGAAGGGGCTACCCTACAGGAGCTTTCAGGCTTCCCTGGCTTCAGCTTTCTTAGCTCTGCAATTCCAGGCCACAGAGAAAAGAATGCCTGGCGACTTTATCAGCCTCTCTGCAGAGAAGGCCAGCAGCCAGTACCTTTGGTTCAACAGACATTCCCAGAGCACCCTGTCATTTAAGGAAAGCAGCAGCCCATTTACGTCCCTGAATCTTTCAAAGAAACTGAAACAACCTCAACGCCCAAGAGTAGGAAACTGGTTGAATTGTGAGACATAATACCCAAAGGCACAGTCACCTGATGGAATTTTAATCGAAGAAGAATATTAAATGACATGAGGAGATGTTCATAATGAATTAAGTAAATATTGCCATGAACCAGTATATATACTACGGATTCCTGTCTTTTTTTTTTTTTTTCCTTTCTCTTTCTTCCCTTTGCGGTACGAGGGCCTCTCATTGTTGTGGCCTCTCCCATTGCGGAGCACAGGCTCCAGACGTGCAGGCTCAGCGGCCATGGCTCACAGGCCCAGCCACTCCACAGCATGTGGGATCCTCCCGGACCAGGGACAACCCGTGTGTCCCCTGCACCGGCAGGCAGACTCTCAACCACTGCGCCACCAGGGAAGCCTGGATTCCTGTCTTTTTAAAATAGTTGATTTATAGGGAAAAAATAGAAGGAAATAAAAATTAACAATAAATTCTAAGTGGTAGGAATGTGGGTGTTTAAAATTTTTTCTTTTCTAAGCCTTATGCAATAAACATAATATTTTTAATATAAAGTATAATACATAAATCTGATATAGCATTTGAAAAACAACTCCACAAGGAGAAATTATGACAACTTCATTCACCCCTTGATGCTCCACGTTGTACAGTAGGGAAATTTCATATAGTTCAGACTTCCCAATACCAGAGGCTCCCAGCCCCGCAGTGCATCTGTACTCTCTTTGGCATTCACATCTTGACAGTCACCTCTCTGGGTGGCAGCAAGATAACTAAGGAAATTTCTGTCCTGTAATCTCTGCAGGAGGCCAGGTCTCCATGTGAGTAGAGAGCAGGGAAAGGGGAGGAAAGCACAAGGCCTAGACTTTCTTGAGTTCTTAAAACAAGAGTACATGTAAGTAGTTAAAACACTTTACATTTATCATTACTGTAGTTGTTAAGAATAACTACCATTTACTGAACACTTTCCTTGTGCCAGGTACATCCTGCATTATCTCATTTAATTTTCACAATGGCCACTTAGATATTATCCCTATTTCACAGATAAAGACACAGGCTGATAAAGACAATGTGCCAAAGTTCCCAGTGCAAGGAAGTAGCAGACGTAAGGTGTTTCAGAGATTGCAAAACTATTTCAACATGGCCTCAGTTATTCTTTGCACTACTCTGTGAGATGAGCATTCTGTTTTAACTTGTAAAATGAAGGGACAGATGGCTTCAAAGTCTCTTCTAAGGTTCTACATGGCTGATCCCAAAGGGCATTTCCAGTTTTTGGTTTCAGTAGAGGGGTCGTGTACTGAATAGGTCAATAGGTGGGAGCCAAACACTTTGGGCCTGTTACACTAGATTACAGGGAGCATATTTTAATCTGACCCTGAAAGACAGTAGCGTGTGGTGGGAGACTAGATACTAGCAGCAAACAACCAGATCATGACGATAAGACTGTCAAGGAGACAATCTGTAAAGGGGATATAGGATCAACTACTTTCTGGAGTTTGCTGGAGGGAAGGAGAGAGCCAAGGCAGAATAGCCTAGGTCTCTGGATGATGTTTTGATGCAAGGTGGACCAGCTCAACCCCACCTGCAAAGGCCCTGTGTAAATAGCTGTGAAATTTAGGCCCAGTATGTAGGCTTTCATAAAATTGTATTTTATTCAGGTCCTGAATAAGACAATCTGCTACTAATCCTTAAAGTACTATATGTGTTAACATTGACTTTTTGATACACTCACATAACAGAAAGAAAGACAACATGGCTATAATACTTTACTGCATTTTCATTTTTTATTTGGATGAAAGTGGGACTACACCAAAAGTTGTTTAAAGTAGTGAACTGAGACCCTGAGTTATTTTCATACTATCTATACTGTTTGCTACATCAGAAGTAAATTTTCATGACTGGTCTCAATGGAAATAAGTTTTCAAATTAGTAATCTTGATTTAAAAAAATATTGCTTTTGTGTGTGTGTGTTAGGGGGGAGCAAGAGGCAGCAGGAGAGGAAGCATTTTCCCCAGAATTATGAATTAGCAACCTTGGATCCTTGCCCAGGCTCTGCCCCCAACCAGCTAAGTAATTCTGAATAAACTTCTTAAATTTCAGATTCCTCACCTGTACAAGGAGATTCTAAAAGGCAGGTGATGTTTGATGTTGTTAATGTTCTATGTGACAAACCAGCATTCCACAGGTATACATAACAGTAAAACAAAATCCAGTGAGCCCTTAAGTCCAGAAAAGTATCGCTAAATGCTATAAGACTGACACTTGTCTTTATCCTGTCTTTATCCTCCAGAGTATGGATGGTGGGCACTCTAAGTAGGAAGCTTTGATGTTACACTAGCAGAAAAGGTTTCCCTTCACTTTGTCCTCACCTGGTACAGAGAAAAGGAAGAGGAAGTGGGTAAGAGTATAGGATTTGGAAGCTGCATTCTTGGGAGTCAAGACCGGAAGCCGCCGCCTCCAGTTGCTCTGACCTGACCTCTAGTTAATCCCACACAAGTTTAATTTGACTGTCCCTAGATGGTACCTATCACCTGCTGGGATCTGTCAGGCCTTGGATTTGTGCTCTCCCAGAAGTAAGGGTCTGTTCTTTGACATCCTAGGAGGAATTGTTATGCTCTAAGAAGGATAAAGGAGATACAGAACTAACTACCAATGCTTACATCTTAACGAATTCAATACATAATGTGTCACAGGGTTAAAAATGTGGAAATTAGCTTTTCAAATTTATGTTTAATTATTCTGAGGACCTGCTTGGCCATCACGTATCTACTGGACTTGTTATGAGGATGAAATAGGAAAAACTCAAAAGAGGACACTAAACACTAGGTAGGACAGCTTTTAGAAATCAAGAAGCAGAATTTCCCATGTGGTCAGGCAAACAAACCAATCCTTATTATTTTCACACCCACCCAAAGGTTCTGACACTTTATGCTTCAAAGGCTTGTGTGGTAGTTCAATCCTACTTGAAGAAGCTTACGAGGCCCTGTGCCCAGCTTCGAGTATTTTCATAGATTTCCCTTGTTCAGTAACTGTGGCCCCCCAATTTATCATTCTCATATCACTCCATCCTCTCTTCGTCTGTTCTATAAGCTTTTAGTGACTTCCATGTTCACTGTTCTTCCCCCAACCAAAATAATCTCGGGGGATTGCCTAAGGGGAAATCCCTATAAAATTATCAACACTAGGAGAGAGTGAGGACGAGTTACTGCCCATAAATCGGGCACTTTAAAGGCTTTTGCTTTAATCACTGTTTAGGACTTAAAACCATGAGGAAAGCAGGAGCTTTCCTCCGCGAGGAGTGCCCACCTTCATCCGCCGGCTGCAGTTTCCCAAGAGTAAAGGAAGGCATCGCCTCATCACTTCCAAGATTCCGTCGACCCTTCTCTACGTTGGCAGGTATTTCCTTCACGACGCCAAACACTTTCTAACACCTAGACCGCTTAAGAGCTCCTGAAGTTTTCCAATTGCCGTGGCGACGCTCCCGGCTTTGTTTTTCTACTTCCCTAGGCAGAAGCCCGCCCACTAGCGTCAAAGCTAGCTCCTCACTGGCCCGAAAGTGTGCTCGTCTCCTCAGCAAGCCATTCAGAGCCTTACTTTCTACGCCGGGGATTTGAAAAACGGAAAAGACCTCGACCTGTTCCTGGGAGTAGGGTGGGGCTGTGAATGAGTGACAGCTTGACCCTCCAATAGTCAGAGCCATAGGACCTGCCCCTTGTGGCTCCGGGGCTAGAAAAGAGAGTCGATGCCGGCAGCAGTGATGAGTCTTGGGAGGTACTGGCGGCTTGGCGGTTCCGAGGAGCGGCTGCTGCTGGTGGCCTTTTTGCAGGTGAGTGGTTTTAATATTGCTGTTGCGAACGTTTCCATTTCTCAATGATGTGGTGGTTTATTTTGGCGTGCGGGAGGGCCAGTTCCTTTCCTCCCCGGGTTCAGTCTTTGATGGGAGTCTGGCACTCGCGCGTCCACCCCTCAAGCTCCGACCCTCACTTATCCCCCAGGTCCCGCTCAGCTGTCCCTTTGTCAGAATAAGACTCTCTGGTCTGACAGCCGAAAGGAGGATTCCGCTTGGTAGAGGTACCTTGACGGCAAGAATAAACAGGAATTGAAGGGAGTGATGAACTCAACTCCCCTGGACGTCTGAGACACGGGGTGACAGAGCCCCGTAAATAGTAGGGCTGCCACTGGAAGGGAGCTCGGTGTGTTTTCAGGGCTGTGCCACTATATTGAGGGCCATGGCAGACCTGGCCCTAAAAGTCTCAGTAGACAGAAAAAACTTGAACGTCATGAAAAGAGAAAGGTGAATATCTGCAATGGTTTATGGAGGGTTCTAGTCTGGAGCTAAATCACAGGTTCTTCGAACCACTACAAATGAAAAAATAAGTGTATTTCTTCTCCTTTCGAAGGGATGGGGGCCGTATTACTGGAGAAGGACAACAGAAATGTGTAATGGAAGTGAAGTTCACGGTTAACGTTTTAAGGATAATTGGTTGTTAGTTAACTTATTGTAACTCTCATTCCCCTACCACCTCCCTTCCAAATTATGGAGGCTTTATAGCTTGTGAGTGGTACCAGAATGTTAACTGACTGAATGCACACTTTTGGGGAAAAAAATCAAATGCTATCTTTCACCAGTAGCTATTAGGGTTTTCTATAATGAAAGCAGAACACATGTCATTTTGTCTTTTATTTTAAAACTGTCTTCCCTGAGGCCAGGGGACTAGGTTTGATCCATCTTTGTGTTCCTGTAGCACCTCACACACCACAGATGCTACTCAATTGTGGTGGGGTTGAGAGAAGCATAATTCAAACAAATGGTGTCGTGGAAGGAGCTCTGAGTTGGCAGTCAAGACACCTGGGTTTTAGTCTTGAAGCTATTTGTGTGATCTTAAATCATTTCAGTTCTCTGCCTCTTAATTTTCGCATCTTTAAAAAGTGGTTGTCGCATTGGATTATTTCCAAGGTCCATGCCTGTGTTCAAAGTCTGTTTTAAACTAAAGATCCTTAGACGTTTTCCAACACAAGTACATCAGCAAAATCTCATTGCAGTAAATTCCTAACCAGTCTGTTAGCAAATAAAAGTTCCCAGCTACAACAGTAGTACCTGTTCTTTTGTGTCCATATTTAAACCAAACCAAGTGGATCATTGTAGAAAATTTGGCTGCTGTCCAGAATGAACATTGTACAGAAGTATAATGTGGCAGAAAATGTCATCCTTTATTCCATCACTCAGAGGCAACCACTGTTGGTGTCCGGGTAGATCTTTCAGTCTCTCTTCCTCTTTTGCCTCCTATGGTTGGTTGAAATTAAGTGGCATGTTTCATTTTAAGTAATGACATCTAAATTCAGCCATGCCCTCATCTTTGTGTGTCTGGTGCCTAGAGCACAGAGGACACGCCAGTGTCTGAACTGTTAGGTCACTTGAACATCCTTGGAATGAAATCTGGTGTGAAGGGATATTTATATGGGGAAATAGGACTAAAAGTATCACTTAATAACAAAACTCTTTAACTGAAACTTGGCCACAAATATGGATAAAATATAGTTTATAAAATGTAAAATAAATGTTAGCCACTTCACTAAAGCATCTGGATTGTAGAATATTGCTTAGTATTTGGTATGCTTCTAGGACTGTATCTTACTGGCAACGCCTCTTTCCTGAAACACAACATTTGATTGCATTCCTACTTCACTGTCTAATTTAACCTTTTCTCCTTACTGCCACCCTCATTTTGCTTTATTCCCAGCTTTTACTTCTGCTCATACCATCAGCAAGTCAGGATCACTCTCAAGGGCCTGAGGTCTGTGTCAGTGTTCATGTGTTAGTCAAAGTCTGCTCCATTCAACCCAGAATACCTCACACTCTTTGGTAGACCACTTCACCATAATCTCATTTAGTCTTCTTCATAGCCCCTTGAGAATAGTAATTAGATAGGAAGGAGGTGTCATGAGTGGGTGTTGTGCACATGGGTGATGCCACACAGGCTGGAACAGGCCACATGCCCCAGGCACACACATATGTCATTACACATGTGTGTCCCTTTCCTGTGAAGAGGGGTCTACCTGCTATGGTTTGTTACCTTTGTAACAAGTGGTTAATAGGTATAAAATTGGAGAATGACAGGGTAATAGTGTCTGGAAAACACCTGTAAGTAATAGCGTTTGCTCCTGGTAAAGAGTTGTTCTTATAATGCAAACACAAATGGAACAGTTCCCATAAAGCTTTAGGAAAAGTAATAGATTATGGAACAATAGGTACTTTGGGATATAGTCATGTTTGAACTTTTCGTAATGAGCTGGGCTTGGGGAAAGGCATATTTTAAGACCCTAAGGAAATGAGCTCCAGATTTCATTTCCACTGTTCTTTTTTAATCTATCAGAAACACGGTTAACCTCTCTTTTTCCTATCCTCACATCTAGCCAGCCTATCTTTATAGAGTTAGATCCCTAATGCAGCGGAGGTTAAGAGTTGTTCAAAGGTATGTAGTGAGGATTTGGACCAGGGAAAACATCCAAGTGGTCTAGGGTAGGATATGAGTATTTAATATTTAAGGGTAAGCTTTGGCTCAAAGCAACTCTGGCTCTGCATGCCTTATTTTATATTACTTCAACATTATATCATTGATCACATTTCTTACTCAATTTTGGAAACAGTAAACAAACTGTTTAGACTGGACTTTATCCTATAATTTTCCCCACCTGTTCATGAGTTGCCATACTAGAGTATTAGACATTATTATTTTTCAAACACCTGAGGAAAGGAGGAAGCACTGTCCTAGGAGCATTGGTTTGGGAGAGAGGACGAGACTCAGTTATGGTGGGTGAGGGAGAGGTACATGAAATTATATGGTTTAATGAGGAGCAGGTGTAGGAGGCAGCAGCAAGATTTTTAGCTACATTTGTTGATACTACCTAGAGATTCTGGAAGTATTGTAGAAGTAACCTCAGTAAATGCAATGGCCTGATGTGTACCAGTCTCCTACCTACCTACCCACCCTCTCCATCCCTACCTTGCCAAAAGGATGCTAATCTTGAAACATAACTCGACTTTACGGTGACATTTATGGAAAGGATATTTTTTACCCTGTCGCCAATTTAGGTGGGAAAAAATGCATATACGTATATATATTTCAAAAGGTCTTTGAAAATATGAGTCACCTGCAAATTGTGTTTTCTTCAAATCGCCTATTTGTTTCTTTTTTGCCAAGGCAATTCCATAGCACCCATTCCTGAGCAGGTATACATTCACCTGAAGTGTGAAGCATTTATAAAGATGTCTAATAAAAGTAATGCATGTCAAAATGACAGATTATATATATATATTTTTTTTTTTTTTGCGGTACGCGGGCCTCTCACCGCCGCGGCCTCTCCCACTGTGGAGCACAGGCTCCGGACGCGCAGGCCCAGCAGCCACGGCTCACGGGCACAGCCGCTCCGCAGCATGCGGGATCCTCCCGGACCGGGGCACGAACCCGCGTCCCCTGCATCGGCAGGCGGACTCCCAACCACTGCGCCACCAGGGAAGCCCGACAGATTATATTTTTGAAGTTGGTTAACAAGATGAATAATTTTTTCCCTCTTCTATCTTGAACCCATTATTAAATAATTCGATGAAGCAAAATACTCAGACTGATTTAAATGTGCTCAGTACTATCTTCTGTGAGGGATAAAAACAGTTATGAATGGGATTCCATTATTCAAGGCACTTGCAGTTCTGGCTAAGAATGAAAGCAGGTGATTTAATAATGTTGGGATTATCCCATGACAGGATACTTAAAGGTTCAAAATGCTGATGTGATTAGTAGATCTGAATAATCCCAGCTAGGCCAGGGTTTGGCAAACTAAGGCCTTCTGACCCACTACCTGTTTTTGTACAGTCCACAAACTATGAATGGTTTTTAATGGTTGAAATAAATCAAAGTATAACAATATTTCATGTGCATGAAAATTATATGAGATTCTAATTTCTTTGTCGATATGTAAAAGACAAAAAAGTTCCAATATGTTTATTGGAACACAGCCTTATTTATTCATACATGCATTGTTTATGGCTGCTTTCAGCAGAATTGAGTAATTGTAACAGAGACCACATAGCCCACAAAGCCTGAAAAATTTACTCTTTGGCCTTTTACAGAGAAAGTTGCCCCCACCTGAGCTAAGCTGGAGTGTCTTTCACATCATCGCCTTTACCCCTTTTCAAGAGCCATTATGCTTGTCCAGGTCTTCATTAAATGTTACCAGAATGGTTGCAAAAGCCTCACAAGTATTCACATCCCTGGTTTTCCCATCTCTCTTGTAGGTGCTGCCTGATCCTCCTAAAATACACATTATTAACCCTTTAACGATGTCCCAATACTTACAGAAGAACCTGCGTTCTTTGGCACAAGGCCCTTTTTGGGGCCACTATTCAGTCTTATCTTTCTAGACTAGTCTCCTCCTACTTCCTTGTTATACCCTATACTTAGTTTAAGATGCTCATATAATTTTCCAGATGGGACCTTCAAGTGTGAAAGGGGCCCTATAATAAGTATGTTGGGAAAACAGGCCTAAAGCAAGACTGTTCTAGGCAAACCAGTTTGAATGGCTCACCATTTCTCCATAAACACCTATTCCCTCGCCCTCTACTCACTGTTCCCTTAGGCTGGAATTCCTTTTCTTTTTTCTATAAATCTGAATCTTAAACATCTTTTCAAATTCAGCTTAAATAGTGCCATGTCCATGAAGCATTATTCAAGTAAAAAATCTCTCCTTGGGGCTTCCCTGGTGGCGCAGTGGTTGAAAGTCTGCCTGCTGATGCAGGGGACACAGGTTCGTGCCCTGGTCCGGGAAGAT